AAGGGTGGCGAAGGAGAAGGTGCCGGCAGCCATAGCCGAGGTGGAGAGTTGACCGGAGGGGTGACCGGACGTTAACCGGAAGGTTGACCGGGATGTTGACCGGGTCCTTGCCGCGTTGACCAAGCATTGACCGAAGAGTTGACCAGCGCCGTTGACCAGGACTTTGACCAAGCTGGAGTTGGTAACATCTCGCCAAGCCCTTAGCCTATCCCCTCACCCTGTGGATGTGCATTTACCCTACGGTACTTGCTGAGTCTGAGTCTGTCTGTCTCTTCTTTCAGCATCGAGTCTCTTCTGTCGTGAGTGATAGTACTCTGTGGATGAAGGATAGGCCTGGTTGACCACTCCCCTACCGTATCTAGTAGGGCTGAGACTGTGGCAGATCCAATTGTCCAGGGGCGCATAACCCTCCCAAGGACCGGTGCTGACCGGCTGGACACGGTTGGTATGGCACGGTGGGCCTGAAAGAATGAGTTGCGGGCTGAAACAACAGGCAGTTTAAGTGTTGAGGGCCTTGTTGACCCGAACCCCTGTCAAACTAAGTAAGGCTAAAGACTGTGTCTGACGACTCAACTGTCCCGGGGGACACGAACCCTCCCAAGGACCGGTACAGACCGGCGGGCTGCTCGGTGTGATACGGTAGGCCTGAAAAGCTGAGTTGTGGGCGGTGCGACAGGTAAGGGCCAAGCTGATCACGTCGTCCTGTCTGCGACGTTAAGGAATTCTTGAGGAGTTAGGGGGATCTCCTTAAAAGGCCTCTAGATCAGCCACTGGTTCAATAGTGACAGCCTTAGAGTAGGTCTAGGCTAGTGACCATAGCTGACAGGGTTCAACCCTGTGGTCCTTAGAGAGTCTGTCAGTGAGTCTGCGGGTTGGTCTAAGTGGTGGTGAGTGGGACTGTCCAGTCGCGCACCTATCACCATGGATGACTACCCCATGTATGGTTTACTCGTTGGGTTTTCCCTCTGGGGGACCCTTTGGCGTTTCATGTTTCCGTTGGGATTCTAGAACACATTTTCGTGTAGGGTAGAGACCAAGGGTGGTATGACCACACACCCCTACACACTTGAAGAAGAGGCCAAGGCCGCCGCAATCCTGAAGGAGAGGAGAGAGGCCAAGAAGAAGGCCCTGTTGGAGGCGCAGGCGACGAAATTGAAGAAGATTGAGGAGGAGATGGCCAGAGAGAAGGAGAGGTTGAAGAAAGAAGAAGAAGCGAAGTTAAAAGAGGTGGAAGAGGAGGAGGAGGAAGATGAGCAGCCGTTGGAAAGGAGGAGAGAGCAACGAGGGCAGTACAGTGGGAGTAAAAATGATGAAATGGAAAAAAAGATTTCAGAATGGGTTGCCAACTTGTCTTTGGGAGAAGAGGAGGCGGTTGCCATGTATATCCCCAAGGATGAGCAGGAGACCACCATGAAAGAATGGGATGCAGAGGAAGATTCCCTGAAGCGGCAAGCGATGGAGGATGAGAAAAAGATAGAGTGGAGGTTCAGGATGATGAGGGAAAAGAAGAGGAGAGTGGATGCAGCAAGTGAGGCGGCCAAAGAATTAGAGCAGGTGAAAAACATGGGAGAACAATTGACCGCCCAGAGTGTTGAGCGCTTGGCCCGGGTACAGGGAGAACAATATGAGTTTAGTAGAAGTCAGGATATGGCCGTGCGCTCGATGCGGATGGGATTTCGAGATTTTGCCCACGAACTGGTAGGCGCAGTAGGGTCCGAGGTGAACCATCGCCTCGCGAAGATAGAACGATTCTGTGTGGGCGCCATTGAAGGCATCAAGATGACAGCTCCCAAGGAGGAAGAGGCACGTCCTCGCAGGGAGCCAGTCAAAGTCAAGTTCCCCGATTCCTACAGTGGAAAGAGGGAAGAGAACTTTGACAATTGGGAGGCCAACGTCAAGACCTATGTGCACTTGCAATAGGTCTCCCCGGATCAGCACGTCCTAATTGCAATTCATGCGCTTAGAGATGAGGCTGCCAGCTTCGCGAGATCCCTGGTCCGCTCTGCTAACTGCAATGATGATGCGGTTGCCTACTCGTCGTTCACCCCCCTCGTCGATTTCATGAAATTGTTGCGCAAGCGATTTGCTGATTTCGCTCGTAGTATCAAGGCCTCAGATAGGCTTCAAACAATCCACTCTCGTAAATGGAAGAGTGTCAGGGCACTCAAGGGCACAATGGACGAATCAGTGGCTGTACCTGACCACGGGGTCACAAAGACCCAGTTGGTCAACCTCTTCTACCGGGCTATGCCCGAAGCCTTGCGAGGGCATTTCTTCGCGAAGAGTGAAGACCCTGCCACCACCTATGATTCCCTTAGCCGCGAAGTGGTGGCTTTTGAGGCAAAGTCGGTATCAGCTTCCACTTTCTAGCACAAAGACTTAGACAAAGGGAAGCAATGGAAAGGTCGCACTATCTCAGGGCAAGTTAAAACTAAGGATAGTCTTGTCCTCACTCTAAATGAAGGTAGTGTTGATGAGATCCCCTACAAACAGATTGAGTGGGGGTTAGAGGACGAAGACAGTGGTGCGAGTCAAGGGAGGACTTACGCTGCTGTCGCGGCTGGAGGGAGGCCGCAAGGAGGAGGACGAGGCCAGGGCCAAGGGGGCCGGGCCTCAGGGAACCGTTCTCAGGGCGATCAGGGGGTTGGCGCTGGAGGAGGAAACCGCCAAGCGGGAGGAAGAAGTGAAGGTCCCCCGCAAAACCGGTCTGGGAATAGGTCCCCTTATAGAAGAAGTGGTTGGCACCCAGGACTGCCTTGGGAAGGCCTTGGGAAGATTTGGGTCTGGACCAGCGCATATGGCAGCAGTGTGTGAACCAGGGGCAGTGCATTTATTGCGGTGACCCTGGCCACATCATTAAATATTGTCCGAAGTATAGAGAGACCCGATCGACTGCTCAAGGGCCAAAAGGCAGCCGCCGGTAGGGGTAGCAACTGCCCCTACCATAAGGCCATGTGGGGAAAGTAGCGCTAGCCGGCAGGAGACTCCCACACCACATGTGCCWATGGCAGAGGTTGCAGGCCGGTGTCTAGATGGTTGTCGAGAGACTGCTTGTGTTAGAGTCTCTCTAGACACCTCCCTCACAGGCGTGGCCGAAGAATTGAAGGAGAGGATGCCCACCTGGGCCAAGATGAAAAAGGAGAACAAGGGGCAGCTTATATTAGTAGACACAGAGATTTTTAGAGGTCGAGTTGGCGCCTTAGTGGATAGTGGAGCCACTCGTAGTTATATTAGTAGGAAGGCACTACAGAAGCTGAAGTTGCAACTAAAAGTCCAAAGATTAGCGGACCCCATCGTGAGTATCCTCGCGGACAATCGCACCATGCGAGTAGAAGAGTACGTAGAGGGAGTCCAGCCGTATTTCCGCCTAGAAAAGGATGGGAAAGTGGAGAAAGTTTTCCATTCCCTGACTCTCCTCGTAGAGGATAGCCTCCCGTTTGACATAGTCCTAGGTATGGACTGGGGAGAGGCAGCAGGGGCCACACTCCATTTGAGAGAGCACGAGTGTAGGCTCCCTAGTCCGTCAGGCGGCGTTGAGACTGCCCGTCTGTTCCATGGGTCAGGAGTAGACAACTGAGACTAAGGAAGAAAATCCTATAGACCCTCTTATTGCCAAGCTGCTGGAGGAGTTTAAAGATCTAGCTGAGCTGCTGATAGGAGTAGTTCCGCGGCCCATCCAGCATCGAATCGAGATAGAGCCTGGCAGTAGAACGCCCAAGGGAGCCGTGTATAGGATGTCCCCGCGGGAGTTAGAGGAACTGCGCAAGCAATTAGACGAGCTCCTCGAGAAGGGTTGAATTAGGCCCAGTTCATCTCCATTTGGAGCACCTGTTCTCTATGTTCCCAAAAAGGAGGGAGAGCTGAGAATGTGTATAGACTATAGGGGTCTGAATGCTATCACAGTAAAGAATGTTGAGCCACTGCCTAGGATAGATGATCTTTCAGATCGAGTGCAGGGGTGCAAGTAATTTACGAAGATAGATCTAAAGTCCGGATATCATCAGATAGAGGTTCATCCTGATGATCAGTACAAGACAACTTTCCGGACTAGATACGGGCACTACGAGTTCATCGTGATGCCCTTTGGACTAACCAACGCGCCAACGACTTTCCAGCGATGTATGAATGATTTGTTTAGGCCATGGTTAGATAGGTTTGTTGTAGTTTACTTGGATGATATCCTAGTGTTTAGCAAGACCCTCCAAGAGCATCAGGGTCATCTCAGGCAGGTCTTGGAGAAGCTAAGAGAAGCTAACTTCAAGATCAACGCAAAGAAGTGCGAATGGGCAAAGACCCAAGTTTTGTACTTAGGCCACGTTTTAGACGGAGACGGCATCAAGCCAGAAGATAGTAAGATTGCATCGATCAGGGATTGGCCTACACCGCGTACGTTGACAGAGTTGCGATCGTTCTTAGGCCTAGCATATTATTATAGGAAGTTTGTAAGGAAACTTCTCCACTATCGCTGCGCCCCTTCGCAGACTGCTCGGGAAAGAGAGTATCTGGAAGTGGGACAAGGACTGCACGTCTGCTATGAAGAAGTTGAAGCAAGCTCTGATAGAGTATCCAGTCCTTAAGGTGGTCGATCCGTCCTTACCCTTTGTCGTCACTACGGACGCTAGTCAGTACGACATAGGTGTTGTTCTGCAGCAAGACGATGGCAATGGTTATAGGCCCGTAGAGTTCATGTCTGCTAGAATGCCTTCAGAGAAGGTTGCGACAACGACCTACGAGAGGGAACTCTACGCTCTCAGGCAAGCGCTAGAACACTGGAAGCACTACTTGCTTGGGAGGCATTTCAAAGTCTATTCTGACCACGAAACGTTACGATGGTTAAAAACGCAGGCCAAGATGACACCTAAGCTTACTAGGTGGGCCGCAGAAATAAACCAGTACGATTTTGAGCTCAAGCCTGTAGTTGCGGACGCTCTAAGTAGGAGAGCTGACTACTTTGGAGCGATAGTTCACTATCTGGACATAGGAAGAGACCTGCAGCAAAAGGTTAAGGAAGCATATGCGGAGGACCCTATCTATGGTGACCTCCTCAAGAGAGTAACGGAGGCCCCAAAGACCAAACCAGATTACCGCACTACTGAGGGATTGCTTTTTTAGAAGACTAACGTGTTTGACCGATTGTGCATTCCCAATAGCGAAGAGATCCGTAGTCTGATATTAGGAGAATGTCACGACATAGAGGGTCATTTTGGTTGGCAAAAGACTTTAGCCAATCTAATGCACGCGTACACCTGGCCAGGAATGAAGAATGACTACATAGAGTATGTCCGCAGTTGCAAGGTTTGCCAGAGGAATAAGACTACTACGCGTGCCCCGCTAGGTCTTCTCAGACCCTTGACTATTCCCGATCAGCCATGAGATTCAGTGTCCATCGACTTCATGGACGCAGGCGTCACGAGTAGACATGGCAAGAGCCAAGTTATGGTGATAGTCGATAGATTTAGTAAGTACGTTGTTTTTATACCTTTGCCTTCAGAGGCACGGACCGAGTTAGTGATCCGTAAGTTTTTTGATCATTGGGTCAGTGAGCACGGGGTCCCATTGTCCATAGTTAGTGATAGAGACACCCAGTTCACAAGTTAGAACTGGCAGGAGTTGATGAGAGTCTATGGCTCTAAGTTGTTGATGTCATCTGGCCGTCACCCAGAGACCAACGGTCAGACTGAACAAATGAATAAGATCCTGCAGCAAGTTCTGAGAATGTACATTAGACCAGATCAAATTGACTGGGATAAGATGCTCCCCAAGGTAGCCAATGCTTACAACAATAGCGTGCATCTATCTACGTTGTCGGCGCGAATACCCTGACAAGGGTATCCGCCCTTGTTTTTGCAAGTGACCGGAAGCACGAGTAGAGGTCTAAAGTATATTGCGCGAGACGCGCCTAGGTCTGTTTGGTTACATAGGTAAGTTGCTTGATTAGAGTAGGGCGGGAGTGGGCGCGCGGGATTAAGGCGCGCGCGCAATTTTTCTACTTTTGATTATGTAACCGGCATAGTTGGCCGGCCTGGCTTTGATTACTAGAAGTAAGAGGTGCCCTTGGTAGGGATAGGTGACCGTTAGTAGTCTAACGCGCGAAGTAGGATGCGGGGCGGCCACGGCGCAAAGAGGGCAAGCCGGCGTAGGGGCCTAGCAGTGGCGTGCCTAATGGGAGGTAGGAATGAGGCCTGGGGGCTATGCCGCACCTGTTCATATGGAATACCGCGCAGGCCGGTACCAGGCTTGGGCTTAGCCCTATAGGTTACGACGTTGGACTATCACGGCAGAAGTACGGGGTTCGAGGCTATCGGGCGGCAGCATGGGAGAGACGGAGCATTAAAGGAGTTGAAGGGTTGAGGGTCCCGCGGGACTATCCCCTTTTGTCTTGGAAGGGGAGACCGACCACGGGACCGCTTGGCGGGACCAGGGGGATGCTGGTGGGGTCTGCCCCCCCCCTTCCCTCCTTTTTTTTTATTTTTATTGTTTATTTATTTGTTATTATTTTCTTTTTCCTATCTCCTCTCATTTGCGACCGGTCCAATCCAAGCGGAAGATATTGCTACTGAGGAATGGACGGGGGCGGTACGGCTACAAGTGCACCGTCCGCCACCCGCGATCTGCTGTGAGAAGGTTGAGTGTGAGCATGCCCGTTGGGATCCGAAAACGGGTGAGCTATGCCTGAGTGGAGCGAGGCGGGAGGAGTCTTGGTGGGGGTACGCAGCGGTACGGACGTGCCAACCGGTTGTCAGACCTGGGCTCGAGCTCCCCTAACAGTTGCAGAATAAGGCTACCTTGAATTAGCCGGGCCCGCTATCGGTTCCGGGGCTGGTAATGAGACCGACTGGCCTAGCACGGTTGGTACACCTCGGAACTGTTGAAATACAGACCTGAGTTTGAACACCGCTAAAAGCAGGTGAACAAAAAAAATACTACGCTTGAATTACCTAAGACTGGTCAACCGGTAGCAATATTTTTGGGCAGCGGCCCTGCAA